TCTAAGCCTCTCTAGGGTTATAAATGTTGAAATGGAGTTAATGAAGGTGTCCTTAACTATTTATAGTGGAAGAAATGGTCTCCTATGCACGATTTTGAAACCCAATTTTGTAACTCACGTTTGAACGTCATTTTCGCGTTTGAACGTTATTTGCTCTCAGTACTTTTGTTTATTCATCAAATACAAAGTACTGGAATGCATTGTCGTTCGAACGGACTTTCACGTTTGAACGGACTTCCTGTTTCTGCTGAAACTTTGGATGAAGTTTTGGCTTATTTAGAGGTCGATTTGAAAATTTTTCATGAAATACACTTTTCTAGCCCTGGAGGTCTACTATCTACTGTAAAACTTTCAGCTCAAACGGACACCATAGCAAAATGTTATGGTCCTAATACTAGGCAATGTCCAAAATTTTTTCTACCCAAATTTTATCTAAAATGTGTTTAAACTCCAGAATACTTCCTAAGTTCCAATTCATACCCTATTACCCCAACTAACATTTTTATTTCTACTCTTACAATCCACATAGTTCATGCATACATTGTCACATATATTGGCATTTCAAAACATAATTACGTTGCTATATAAAGAGAAAAATGTGGGGGTTTACACTACCTCTGACTTGATCTCTACTCAATATTGTATACTGTGACAATACAATCAAAATAATATTTTAGAATAATAGGTAATAAATTTGATGAAAAATAACTAATGAAAAATAATGATACTTAAATTTGATCCAAAAATATGAGGATCAACTTTAAGTGACTCGAACCTACAGAATCACTAAATAGTACTACAAAAATCTTACTCAAAAATTTTGATCACAACTACGAACTTTTAAGTCAACAAAATTTTGACCCCTTTTTTTTCCCTCTTCCTTCCCCTCTCTCTCTCTTATTTTTTTCTTTGCTGCGTTGCTGAAAGGCCTGCACTGGCTATTTATAGCCAAAGTTCTGCTCCCTTGCATCATGGCTGATGAATTTTGCTTCCCTCATGTGGACAACTGTCCACTTATTTGTCACACACTTTCTTTTGTTTTTTTTTCCTTTTGTGCACGTTTCCAAATCTTACAAATCTAGAATAGGACATTCACAAAAATAAATATATATATGGATATATTTATTTATTATATGATTATGATATTTGACTTAAGTTATAGTCATTTAACTCGTTTTCACGTGAAGAGTCTATATTTGGGGTCCATTTGTTCATAAAAAAATTATTATTTATTTATATATATATATATTTTAAAAAATAAATCTCAATTATATAGAATCATAATTGATGACCTAATTAATGTATTAATGATTTATATATCTATGGGTCATTACAATCTATCCCCTTTAAAAAGAATTTTGTTCCCGAAATTCGATACTAACATTGAGAATTAAAAAGATAGGGATATTTTGTATGCATATCTGCTTCCAATTCTCACGTGGCTCCTTCAACATCATGATGTTGCTATAGCACCTTTACGAGTGGTATGACCTTGTTACGTAATACTTGCTCCTTGGTATCGAAAATTTACACAGGTTGCTCTTCGTACGTTCCATATTCTTGAATTTGGACATCCTTCCAATCGATAACATGAGACGCATCTGGTTCATATTTCCTTAACATGGATACATGAAATATATCATGTATTCTTGATAACTGAACTGGCAAGGCAAGTTGATAAACTACATTTTCAATACGTTGTATCACCTCAAAGAGTCCAATGTATCTGGGAGCCAATTTACTCTTTTTCCCAAATCTAGATATTCCTTTCCTAGGGGATACCTTCAAGAATACATAATCACCCATTTGAAATTCTAAGGGTCTCCTCCTTTGATCTATATAACTCTTTTGTCCACTTTGATCCGTGCGTAGCTGATCCTGAACTACTTGATCTTCTAAGTGGTTTCTCGGACAATTTCTGCACCAAATAAAATGCAATCACTAGCTTCGCCCCAACATAGAGGTGATCTATAGGTTCATCCGTACAAAGCCTCATACAGAGCCATGTCAATACTGTTTTAATAGCTATTGTTGTAAACAAATTCCACCAATGGAAGATGTTTATTCCAACTGTCTTTGAAATCTAGAGCGCAAGCTCGTAACATATCTTCCAATATTTGGATCACCCTTTCAGATTGACCATTTGTTTGAGGATGGTAGACAGTACTGAAATGCAACTCGGTTCCCATGGCTTTTTGTAAACTCTGCCAAAATTGAGCCACAAAACAATCTAATACAATTGATAACGGTACCTCATGTAATCTTACAATTTCCAGTATATAAAGTTGACTTAATGTAGCTAGAGTATCAGTATTTTTCATGGCTAAGAAATGAGCTGATTTGATGAGTTGATCCATTATAACCCATATTGCATTGTATCCCTTGGTAGGTCTAGGCAATCCAATCACAAAGTCCATAGTGATATGATCTCATTTCCATTATAGAATAGGTAAGAATTGTAACAACCCACCAGGTTTTTGATGCTCTACTTTTACTTTCTGACATATAACACATCAAGCTATAAATTTAGCCACATTCTTCTTCATTCCTTTCCACCAATATTTATGCTTCATATCTTGATACATTTTCGTGCTACCAGGATGTGTGGAAAATTTAGAGCGATGGCATTTCCTGAGTATCTTCTCTTTCAACTGAGCAATATCGCGTACACATAACCTTCCTTGATATAATAATTTCCCCTTTTGTATCCACCAATTCTCAAGAATGTTCCCCTCTTCCAGTTGGGTGCAGATGGATTTTACGTAGGAATCCGAACGTTTTAATTCAATAACTTTTTGCCGAAGGACTGGTTGAGCAACAAAATTAAACAAATGTGGTTAACCTCCTTCTTCACCCATCCAGATGTCATAGTCTTTTAGTGTCTCCCTCAATCACCATTTGTCCTTCATCACGTTGATCACTGCACTTTGGGATTTTTTGCTCAATGCATCAGCTACCATGTTAGCTTTCCCCGGATAGTATTGAAGTGTGAAATCATAATCCTTGAGATACTCTATCCAGCGTCGTTATCGAAGATTCAAGTCTTTTTGAGTGAATATATACTTGAGACTTTTGTGATCCGAGTATATCTGAAATTTTTCCCCATATAGATAACAACGCCACAACTTCGGAGCAAAGACAACATATGTTAGTTCCAAATCATGGGTGGAATAGTTTCATTCATGAACTTTTAATTATCTTGATCCATAAGTAACCACCTTGTTATTTTGCATTAATACACATCCAAGTTCTTGTAATGATGCATCTATATAAATATCATACCCAATACCACTTTCGGGTATAGTAAGGACAGGTGTCGTGGTCAACTTCTCCTTTAAGATATTAAATGCATGTTCACATTTTTTGGTCCACTCAAACTTTTCTCCTTTCCGGGTGAATTGGGTCATTGACATAGCTATTCTAGAAAATCCTTCCACAAATCTTCAATAGTATCCTGCCAATCCCAGAAAACTTCGAACTTCTGTTGCATTCTTAGGTCAATCTCAATTCATTACTGTTATTATTATTTCTCTTTATGTTGTATTAAGAATATGTTGATGATAGACATTCTTATCTCTAATTCTTATAATGATGGACCATGAATAATTCAAAGTCATTGTTGATCTCTGATGAAATTACTATTGGCGAGTTATGATCTTCTGTTTTATAATCAAAATCGGTATAGTCGTCTCGCTCACCTTTAACATTCATATTGTGTAAAATAATGCAAGTCTTCACGATATCTCCTAGTGTTTCAGGATCTCGAAACTATGATGCTCCCCGTATAATTGCAAAACGAGATTGACGGACTCCAAATGCTCGCTCTATATCTTTTTTCACTGATTCTTGCATAATAGAAAATTGTTATTTTTTGCTCCTTGTGGGGAAGAAATAGTCTGGACCAATGTTGTCCATAGAGTATTTATACATATCACATATTATAGGTGTGCCCATTGATCAAGTAATTGGCTGGGGGGCTCGCCCTTGGGCAAGTTCAAACATTAATATCATTATGAGGTCTTGACATTCCAAAAAAGGCATGCCAAAATTCATAGTTTATATGAAGCTACATATTCAAAAATTATGGTAAGTTTTTATACATGACCCTAATATTGACATTGTCATGCAATCAAACAATTCTTCCATTCTCAATGCATGCAATCTAAACTTCTTAACATTCCAAGAAACCCACATGTCTCTCCAACATCAAGTAGTCTAGCAATATCATCTTTCCTTTGAGATCTAAGCAGGGAATGAAATTTGGAAAAGATGTTTTGGACGGAAAGAAATAGAGAAAGGAAAAAGGGAAAAATGTTCGGAAATTTTTTTTTTAAACAATGAGCATTTAAGATATTATGGAAATTTTTTAAGAAAATTTTGAATATAAATTTAATTTTGTCTATTAAAGAGGTTCATACCAAATCATATTTTTTACTCATTTTTTTTATTCAAATTTGAGTTTGAGTTTGAGTTTAAATCAACATTGGAGATACCCTTATATTCATTTTATAGATTTTATCAGAATTTTTATGATCTAAAATTTATCACACACAACAAACATGATGCACTACTAGTGCATAAAAAAGACAAGGGTAGTCCCCAATCCATATGTATTAGGAGCTTTTCCCTAACTTAGCCTCTCCCAAATCTTTATTTCCAATCTCAATTTGTTTTAAACATATTTCTCAAACCCAGTCTCTTTTTAAAAATGTCATTTGAAGTGACAATTTCAAATTGAATTTTTTTTTTAAATCGTCATTTGAAATAAAGTTTTTAAAGGCGTCAGTAAAAATGACGTTTATAAAAGTGAATTGAAAACGGCAACATAACAGACGTTAAAAAGAATTAATGGGTAGAAACATCATTTGCAATGACGTTTTAAAAAACGTATTTGTAAATGATGTTTTCTACAACTTGCCCCCCACTTTCCCAAATCCCAAAGGCCCTAAGTTGTTACTCTGATCTTTCTCAAGACAGACCAAGTTGGAGTTAATACATTGATGCTGTCATGTTCTAGCATCATATGCTCGATTTCTCTGGATGCTGAAGAAGAAGAGGAAGAGGAAGAGGAAGAGGAAGAAAGAGACCTATATGGCATGGACCGCAGGAGCCCATCACCAAAGTTCTTTGAAGGAGCTTCTAATTGGCCTCCTCTAGCTGCAGCTTCTGTATCTAATAACCTCTCTGTGGTCTTCTGTTCCTTTTTTCGTTTTCCGGGGGGGAATGGTGATAATAATCAGTTGCAACCGTGGGAGGTCGGGAAATAATGACTTGTGACAAATTCATAGCCAAATTTTACAACCTTAGGCTAGATATTTTGTTTCAGTATTGACGTTTGGAAGCTATTTGTCCCCACTCGGAATTTTTCAGCCATAACTCTCTTTGTTTTCTACAGTTGCATTGCCTTTATGATTAAATTTTGTGACCAGTTTTTGCTCGGAGCTGGGAATATGATCTCATGGAATTCATTCATTACAGCCGTTGATTACTTTGAATTTCTCTATCCAAACAAACACATTGACAAGGTTTTCTCTGTGGCTTACATGGGTTCAACGCTACTGATGCTTGTTCTTCTGAATTGTTGGCCTACTTGGAAACAATTACCTGTTTTTAACTAAGGATGAACTCCGGCCAAGCTCTGTTCATTGTTGCTTTCATGGTTACGCCTGTGACAGATTAGATTTCTCCTAAGAATGAGCCTCAAGAGAGGCCACATATAGCTTATGTGGTTCTTGTTTTGGCCCTGGTGGTGTGTAGTCTAGCCGATGGGTTGACCGCAGGAAGCTTGATCAGAGCCACCAGGGAACTGCCGGGACGTTACATGCAGGCAGTTTTTGCAGGCAATGCGTCTTCAGGTATCAAATTTCTGAAACTCGTCGGAGGCAGACTCCTGCACCAGAGTGGTTTTCGTCGGCAGTAAAAGCCTACACTGGACTGATTTTTGTCAGACGTGTTAAGTGGAGAGGATAGATAACTCGATGGGTTTAGTTTAAACACTTTGGGCAAGTTGAGCTCTGAGTGTAAGTCATAAAAAATATCATTATAAATAACATTTTTAAAAACATCATTTAAAATGATATTTTTGCCCACTAATTTTTTTAACGCCTATTATGTTACTGTTTTTAATTCACTTTTTTAACATAATTCTCATTGACGCCTTTAAAAACGTCATTCCAAATGATGATTTAAAAATTCAATTTGAAATCGCCTTTTCAAATAACGGTTTAACCCATGAAGGCATCATTTAAAATAACGCTTTTAAAAAGAGATTGAGTTTGAGAAATAAGTTTAAAACAAGCTGAGTTTGAAAATAAAGATTTGTGGAAGGCTGATTTTGGGGAAAAGCTCTATGTATTAGGCTGGCGCAAAATAATTTGGATCCCCATAGTCATTCGGCAAACAAAGTCCCACTTTGAACCATATGATTGTACCAGTTGATAGTTCTACAGTGCATGCTCAAGACTTAACAAAAAGCAAAACAGAATATAATACCATCTAGAAACAATCCCGGGGTCAGACTATGACTATAATCATATTTAAGTAATCGCTTCAAACAAGTTGTGGCCGGCCTTCACTTAGCAAGCATCATCCTCACAAACTCCTCATAATTCACTTGACCGTCACCGTCCAGATCTGCTTCCCTAATCATCTCATCCACTTCTTCATCAGTCAACTTCTCCCCCAGGTTTGTCATTACATGACGAAGCTGCAAGATTTTGCACACAAACATGAGCAAAAAGAAGAAGAAAAAATCAAAAAGCTTTAGAGTAAGATCCCATGGGTAATCTACTGACCTCCATGCAAAACAGGGTTTCAATTTTTTTAAGTATAATTTCACTTTTAGAAAAATTAATCAGTTCAAAAATAAATAAATAGATGGGCAGAGTTAGAAGTTGCATAATGCATTTACCTCTGCAGCAGAAATAAAGCCATTTTGATCTTTATCGAACACCTTGAAAGCTTCTTTGAGTTCCTCCTCCGAATCAGTGTCCTTCACAAGAAGAAAATTCGGATACATTGTCTTGCATGTGCGCGTATGCATAATGCTAATAGGTCAGACTATTTCCTTTCGTGCTCTCATAAGTACATGAGATATCACTTGATAAAAAAAAACTATTTTTATTCATCTATTACTTTCAATAAAGGAAGAGGGGAGTGGGGTCCACTCCAATGGGACCCACTACTGTTTAAGATACTGTATGGTTTTCACACCTTCAAAGCTTCTTCGAGTTCATCATCAGAATCAGTGCCCTAGAAATTATTTGTCTTGCATATGTGTGTGTATGCATATCAGTTTAGAGAAGGATTATTTTTATCCACTTAATAAAAGGCACAAAAGGGTTTATTTTTTGTAGTCATGCTGCTCCATTGACCTCATAATTGGGACAATACTTCCACTTGGTTTGGCTTCACCATGCATGAGTGTGAGTGTGAGTGGATCAAATTACACCTCAGATAGTTCACCTTTCATTAAATCCATGGGACCCATGATGCACAACACCTAACCGGGACAAATTGCTACTGCTATATGTTACAGACATGATGGCTGTCTGATCATGAACAGAAATTAGATTTTATTTGTACCAAATATAATCCTAGAAATTGGATGTCTCTTGATATCCAATCAATGTATACACTGCACAAAAAGCACAAAGTTTAACAACAGCCTAGGCATGGCATGGGTTGTGTAAAATCCCCAGTTTACACCAGGCGCAATTATTTGGGAACATGGGATACATACTCAAGTGATTACTTCAAAAGCCAGGATACGCTAGATTTGCAGGCAAGTGTTGAACATGAATTTTTCAAGCAAATAGCAGCACATGAAAATGGTTAGCATAAATCAGGCAGCTGCCAAAACTATAACCAGACAAGTAACTAGAAACAAACGTTTGATGGTGTAAGTTTGACTTGAAATAAGAAACTGCAATAGTGTAGACAGCTAAACCTGTCATTATTCGATAAAAACAACTAAAGGATGTTGAGATAAAAAAAAAAAGGCATTACCAAATATAAACACACACTGTGACATGCATATGGATGTTATACCAATGCATTACAACATAACCGTGCCATATGTAATCCAAATTACAATTTAGAGTCTTCCAGGCAGTACTCTTGGCTCAGAATGCTTTATACAGGATATTCGTGTGAAAGCTTCCAAGGCTCAGAGAATCTTCTTTTGGAAGTTAGCTTTTAGGTTTATGCCTTTCTTAGGTCCTTTCACCGCTGTTATGTTGGGAGTTTTCTTATGAATTACAGTTTCCAAAACAAGAAAATACGAAGCTGTCATTAGGGTCGTATTGCATGTAGGGAATTATGGATGAAGTAACACTATTGCACACTTGTGGGCGGTCTCTCTCATATCGACAAATTTTAGAATCTTTATCCCAAGTATTGTGAAGACCACCATAGATACCACAATCATATCCCTAGCATCTCACGAACCAAGGTCGCACAACCTAAAATGTGGTGGGTTAGTGATCCAAATTATTCAAAATCTCGACACCAAATTATAACTTAAACCACAAATTGACTCATGATTTAAAGAATCTCATATCATAACCTCAACCCCAAATCATAATCCTAACTTGTTATTTCTTTTTTCTTTTTCTTTTTTTTTTTTGTTTTCTTTGAACTCATATTTTGGTAACACCAGTCAAAAATATAAAATAAGTATTTGTTAACTGTGAGTATATAAATATCTTATTCCATATAAATGTTACAAAACGAACCATGTCCCAAAACAGTATACCAATTAAGTCTGCCCCCTCATATTGCATATTAAATAAGTATCATACACGTACCACGTACTAAATCAACCCACGATTCAGGTAACATTGTGGAGACCGAAACTAGCCTACGCCTAAGCAAAAGGCATGGCAAGGCACACCGATTGTGCCTTGACAGGACTGAGGCAAGGCGAATATGTGGAGCCTAAGTAAAGCAAATGAGTTTTCATCTTCTTTTCCTTCAGTGATATTCACTGGGCTCTTGGATCTACTAAGTTGGATGAAATATTTGATGTGTCCATGCACAAGATTCCAAATAGTTGGTATAAGATATTGTTGAGCTGAGTTGTACACAAGATTTAAGTTTCAAAATAATTATCTAGCACACGAACTTAATCAATCTTGATAGGTAACTCTTCTCCCTATCTATTCATCTTCAACTTCCTCTTTGGCCGCAAACAGATTTCTGAATGCCACATCTCTCTCTTAAGCCTTCTATTTTTCTGTTTTGCCGTCTTCCTTTTTTTTTTTATTAATTTATGTCATTTTCTAAATATGTACTGTATGTTAATTTTCATTTGTCAGTCAATGTTATTTGTCCTATAATATCCCAAATTTGTAAATATTTATGATAATAATAAGTTGAATTTGTGCCTTCATATGTTTGATACAACTGCAAAACAAGTAGAACTAACAATAAAACATAAGCTAAAAGAGCATTGATTTGAGTAGTTTTGATACATTCAAACAAGACCTATTACTACACCAGTGAGGAAGAAAGGTGTGATAGCCACTAATGGCAATGCGAAGGCTAGAGGGAGGTCAAAATTAACTTTAACCAAAAGGGTATAAAAAAATTTAATAACTTGTTGTTTGACAAAAAATGTGACCCTTGAAAGGATGTAATGGCTGAATAGGATTCATTATAGTCGACCCCAAGTAATTGGGGCAATGATCAGTTGAGTAGAGTTGTATATGCTTGAGACACGCTGTTAAATCTTTTTAACTGCTATAGACCATAAGAAGTAGAGACAATAACTTCGTAAGTGCTTAATCTGTTTAGTTGCATTTTGATTGGATTCTTGAACTTGATTGCTTAATTTTGTAATTGACAGGATGCTTGAAAATTTTGTTTATATGAAAATATTAGCTTTTTATTTACAAACATGCACCCTATTTTGATTGAACTTGTGTCCCATCTCGTGCCTTGCCCTTAGGCCCCATTGAGTGCTTTGATGCACCTTGCACCACAAATTAGAGTGCTTATCCTCTTCTTCCTTTGAACAAGAGGCTTACTGGTCTGCTCTTGCACCTACCCTCTTGCTTTTCTTCGGATATTTCCTTATTTTCCTCTTTATTTCACTTTATTGCTTCCAAAAAAAGGAACCCTACAGTGGATTACATCACATATACTCGCATGTACTGCCTTGGAAAAACATCATCTACAACAAATCATGGGAACATAGTCGTCTGAATTTGATCAAGAAAAGAACACTAGGGTGGCATGTTCTAAACAAGCACAAGTTGCAGCAAAATCTGTTACCAAAGCAGCATTCTAATTTTCTCTCTTAGGCATAAAGAGGGAACAAGATAGATATTAGCAGATGTAGAATTGAACTCACCTTCATTTTTCGTGCCATCAAATTCAAGAACTCAGAGAAATCTATGGTACCGTTTTGATCAGCATCAACTTCATTGATCATATCTTGCAGTTCAGCTTCAGTGGGATTTTGTCCCAAAGATCTCATCACAGTTCCCAACTCTTTGCTTGTAATACAACCTATAAAAACAAAGTGTATCACAAGGATAACTGAAATTTATTTCTACAGACTTAAAAAGAGCGTGGTTATTAAAGCAAAAGAGCAAAAATTTTTCCCCAAAGCATCAAAATAAGTACATTCTATACATGCAACCACACGAAGCCAAAAACTTGCTAGCATTACCATCAAACTAATCCCAAAGAATAAAAAAAAATAACTCAATAAATAACTATGAATCCATGCATTTCCACCATCAAAAAAATCCAGTCCCACAAAGGATTGTTCATGGAACTACCATCAAGATTCTTCGGACCTGATTTCCTAGTATCATCCTGATGGTCATTGTTATACCATCATTTGCTCTGTTATACTCAATGGGCGAGGTAGTAGTAGATCCAGCCATTACTATCAAAGCTATTGGACATCAA